TGATCTTTCTATTTTTAATATCGTCTCTCTCTCCCTCCACCTCCTCTCCCTCCGAAGATTAAAAAATCTCTCAGACATTGCTGAGTTGTCCACCTTCTGCTGAATCATCAGTTCAGGAAAGCACTGCTCTGCCTCACGCATAGTAGGAGACCATGTCTACTCTGCAAGCAATATGGAGTATAATGGTGAATCTTTACAGACTAAACTTAGAAGTCAAGGATCAAGCAGAAAGATTCTTCAACCTGCTTGAAAACAAGCTTGATCAGCAGACTTTCATAGGGACTGGAAAAGGCGCCTTTCCCAGATGCTAAAGGAGACCTCCCTCCCAGTGCTTGTGGCAGATTTTCATTGGGACCATGGCATGAAAGGGTTAAACTCTCCCTCCTCAGCTTCTCAGGTCCAGGAAGCTGCCTCGTACATCCCTCAAATGCTATTTACATTAAAAAAACAAAACCACATGCATGCTAATTCAATCAGTGCCATACTTAATTTTAAAAGAAGGTTACTCCAAGCAACAAGTAGTCCATGCTTTATGGGTGCATTCAGACATGGGGAATATTGCGTTAGAGCTTCTGCCTCATTTTCTAATATTCCCAGTACCTGTATAGAACTGTGGCTTTTTGACCAATATGTCAGCATGTCATGCTAAATTTCATTCACAAGGCAACCAACATCATTGAGGCAACATTACTCTCCCGAGCTTTCTGCTTCTGCTCCCCCATGAAAACAGCTGGAAAGAATTGTATGCCAGTATACCTCCCCAAATTCCGTCAATTTACTATCGTGGTTTTCCAGGTGAAGGGGGCTGCAAAAGCATTTTTCTGGAATCAAATAACATGGAAATAAGTGCTAAACATGCATTATATTCCATTAGTTCTCTGGAGGTGGTTTTTATGTTACCTTTATGTGGAAGGTCAAATATAATGCGAAAATTAACAGTCAGTGAAATGTCAGGGATATGTGACCATTTGGAGGCTGCTCAGAAAGCAAATTCTCCAGTGTGCAGCCATGCCACTACAAACCTTGGACCTCACTCAGGCTGTGCACACACTTTTGTTTACTCTGTGTCCAGTGCACTCCCACTGTTGGTATGGAAAGCAGTGTACACACATTATCTGCAACAATCCATCTCTCTCCTATCATTTCTTATGAAATACTGTGTTTTGAAATTGTTTCCCCTGCAAACCAGCTTTGATCCAAAAAGAACAACCTTGCTGTGTAATGTGTACACAACCATAGTTGCTTGTCACTGAAACTCACCTTTCTTTTGCATTCATCAGTCTCCAGTGTAGCTGTGGCTCTTACTTCTCCAGCTAGAGACAGACAGTGCTTTTGTCATGAACTCCAGGTGCCATTTGGAATATAGGATACTGGCTCAATACTGTCTTCAGTTATGGCAGAGGTTCACGTTATGCATTTTAATTAATTAATTTAAAAACAGTCCATTTTCCACCATGTATGTCTCAAAGTGGCTTACAACAGTAAAACATACAACACACAACATTCAAAGTTCAAGAATTTAAAATTTCAACAAAGAAAAGAGAATGAGAGAGGGGGGAAACACATCTGAGAAGCATATACCAAGATTGCAATTGCCACTCACTTCTTCCTTCATCTGGGACATGTGTAGGGAGAAAAAGGCTGGATAACCTAATCAAGGGGAGAGTTTTCAAATGCACATCAAGTAGCCACACCCACCTCTGTGGATGGCAGGATCTAGAACCAATCTAGATTAACAGAAACATGTTGAGGATGAGCAGGAATTATGTAGCCTACAATCTCTGTACACTTGCTTTTGGTTTCAAGCCTTCTCTCAGAAACTGGCTAACCCCTGTTATATTATTTAAAGTAATCAAATATTCTAAGTTCAGCAGCAGAAGAGTCAGACAAGGAATGTTGAAAATCAGTGAAGCTGAAAGGTAATTTTGGCTGTGAGTGAATATTTATACAGTGTCTAAGGTGAGGTGATGCAGAAACTCCCACATCCATCCCCTGCCAGCTTCTAGTAGGGCTGGGAATGTTCCCTCTCTGAAACCCTAGAGGACCCTGGAGTGCAGAATGATGCAACTAGATTGGTGACAGGTACAGACTACCATCAACACATGACACTGGTGTCTAAAGACCAGCACTGGTTTCCCATCTGCTCCCAGGCCAAGTTCAAGGTTCATATACTACTGTACATAGCCTTGACTAACTTAGGCCCAGGACACCTTAAGGACCACCCTACCCAGTAAACTGCAAGTCGGTCACTGAGATCATTAGGGGAAGGCCTATTGGTGGCTCCCTATGGGCCAGAAGGACAATGCAAGCCAACAAGGGTGGGCCAAACTCTATGGAACTCCCTTTCACAAGAAGTTAGACAGGCACTGTCCCTGCTGAGTTTCAGGTGCCTGGTCAAAGTGTATCCTAGATCAAGAGGGTTAAGTACAGTAGCTTGTTTTACCTGAGTTTTTTTTAAATCAGTTTTTAGTAAAGATTTTGTTGTGTTACAAAACAAACAAATAAACTAGGAAAAGTACATATAGTGTCTCCACTTTCAATTCATAGAGTCTTACAGTTTGTTTACATTTGGTACGAGACACTGCTGTCATAGACATTGTGTGACTGTGGGAAAAGTGAGGGGGGAGAGAGGGAGAGAGAAAGAGATGGGGGGTAATGATCTTTTGTTCTATTGCATAGTGTTTAATTACCCTGTACGCTTTCCTCAAATAATAATAATAATAATAATAATAATAATTTTATTTATATCCCGCCCTCCCCAGCCGAAGCCGGGCTCAAGGCGGCTAACAACAATCAAATAATCCAACATTCTAAAAACAGTACTAACTCAGTATTCAGTGACTATGACTAACTCTTTAACTTTGCAGTAAAGGGCATACCCACACTTAACTTTCCTCTGCTCTTTCCAAGCATGTCCTGCGATTTAAAATCCTGTGTCCTTCTCTTTTTGCTCTGAAGCTTTCCCCGTGAAAATTTGCACTTTAATGACAATCTGCACAAAACTTGAATTAATGTTGGCTCCAATTCAGCTTTAGATTGGACACAGAACATTTAAGCATGGACCTCTGAATGGAAAGAGTAGACAAAAGGCAAGTGTGGATAAGCCTAAATTTATTAAAAGTACCATATTGTATCAGTGACCTGTTATCATATCCCTTAATCTTAAATTTACCATTCTCCCATGTGAATGAACAGAGGAAGCACTTTCTGAGGCTGAAGTTGAGAACTTAGACTCATGAAGGAAAATTTATTCAGAGAAGACTCAAAAGCGGGGTGGGGGACTTCCAAACGCTCAGATTGGACGGCACTCTTGATGCCAGCCTTGGGTGTCACATATAATACCTTGAACACATCTCCCAACACAGCAAGGACTCGTATTAGTCAGTACGGTTACCGTACATTCACTTGCCAGGTTCCTTCAGAGAGTAATTCCTGGACTCTATTGCCCAAGTGGAGAGTTCCTAGCACAGTCTGATAGAAGACGGAGAAACTGAAGAACTGACAGATGGCATGAAAAGGAAAGCTGCTGGTGAGAAAGAGCAGCCTGGAGCTGAGAGATTTAGAAAGGGAGTGAGAATGAAAGAGCTGGTAAGAGACAGAAGGATTGTAGCATGATAGAGACAGCATCTTAAGGGGGAGATGGGGCATTCTGGAAGGGGTGGTCCTTATTGGAGGGAGAGAATGAATGAAACAGGGCTGAAGAGAAAAGGGAGTTTGGGTATTGAGGTGCAGAACAGGGTCTGTGGGAGTTGAGAGACAAAAGTGAAATTGAGAGGGAAAGGAGGAAGGGAGGGGAGTGTGAGGGAGGAACATAAGGGAGAAAACAGAGGGCCTGCTGTTGTTTGTGAGGGTGCAAATAAACCCAGCTAAATATTTGTGAGGGTGCAGAAGGTTACAGTGACAAAAGCAAGATGGGCAACAGCTGCAGTGCAAGGGCAATGTTGTCAGTGTTTTGTGTGGAGATGTAAATGAAGTATCTTGGTTTGAATTCTGTTGTTCTTTTAAACAGAGCAGATCTGAGCAACATCCGGCCGCATTAGCTCATGTTGGCATGTGGCCAATTTTCAGGAGCAGCATTTGAGATTTCTGCTTCTTGACTGCATTCTGCCTTGCTTATTCCCCTTTCTTTATACAGTATACAATCCATTTAGGGATTTACAAAGGCTTAGATGCACATGAACTATATTCTGCCTGTGTTTTATTTTTGCTCTGGTTTCAGGAGACCTGGGGTCATGAGTGTTGTGGCATTTTATTTTCTCCTATAATAACTGCTAGGAGAATTAGAAGATAAACTGCTCCAACCACTCATATATTGAGAGATACCCCTGGTTTCACTCTATTTTAATGTAGCCTCTGACTATCCCCATTTACCATTGGAAAGCCCCTCAAACAGCCAACAATGGTTTTGAATCTGCTTGCAGCTGTGCAGATATCATTATGGCATCCCTCACCCAATAACAGGGGGGGGGGCCTTTAAATGAAGGTCAGGATACAGATGTCAGCAGTAAAAAAACAAACAAACCAAAATCATGACCACACAAATCTGGTAAAACTGTATCAGACAGGCTGGGGATGTGGAAGGTATTTCCATGTGGGACAACAAATGAATCAGCTCTGTTATAGCATCCCTCATTTCAAGCACTTTGATTGTTCCTGACCTTGTAAGCTTTTGTCCCTATAATATTATTCTGTCCAGGGCTGGGAGCTAAGGTTGAGTACAGAACGAGACAATACCACAGCATTTTCAAAAAGATAGCTTGCCTCATATTCTTATCCTAGGTTAAGACTCTCAACCATTTTCTTTCTACAAAAATGCCATCTGCTGGTTGTTTTACTGAATTTATTTATTTCTAGGGCTATAAAATATGTATCGTTTTTCACCTAAGCATCCCATGGCATTTCACTCAAGATGTGGAGCTGATAATGCCGTTTTTCTCCCTCAGCAACTTAGATTAATTAGAACCAGGAAGCTGAAGTGATGCAAAATATAACAGGAAAGAGTTTTATCACTGTACTACTGTATCAAACAAACAAACAAACAAACAAATATCCCTGTAATAATACTGTACAGTAGTACAGTTTGTTTGTTTGTTTGTTTGTTTGTTTGTTTGATACAGTAGTACAGTGATAAAACTCTTTCCTGTCCAACAATCTCACAGAGGTGGGGAATCTGTGGCCCTCGGGAGATTGTTGGACTCCAACTCCCATCCACCCCAGCTAGCATGGCCAGTGCATCAGGGATGATGCAAATAGGTGTCCAAAAGCAACCTGTGAAGAGTAAGAGATTCCCCATCCCTGACGTAGGTAATAAGGCACAAATAGAATGAATATAGAGACTGCTGATTCCAATTAAATTTTCCTGGAGCATAGAAATGGAAGAATAGTAACTTATGTAAAATGTGGACTATTTCAACAGTGACATGTTAAAATATATTGTCCATTTCAGGGAAAGGAGATAGAGCCTTATGAGGGGTTTTTTCTCAGGAGGTACCCAGCTTGGGGACTTAGTACTGTGGGGCTGAAATAGATGTTCAGGTAGTAGAAGCATTTTCATTGTGAAATTTATGATAATCTGGTTGCGATTCTTATGGTATAAGAAGTACAGTACTTGACATTGGATTTCTTTCTCCTTCTGTTATGGCTGTATGGGGAGAGGAATATTCCATGCCAAGTACACATCAGCCATGCATGCCTTTAAGATTATGAGACTCAATGTACTGTAATTCCCTCGTAGGAGGGCTTACTACCGGGCTTCTCTCTCACTTGCAGCTTGTTCAGAAGGCTGCAGCATATTGGGTTGGTGATCTGAACCTGTGATGCTTTTCCATTCCTCCATTCCTACACAACAGCAGAAAGCCAGCCTTGGACATTTGACTGCTCTAAGTGAGATATTAAAAATAATACTATCACTCCCATTTCCTGGCATAAAATCCTGAAGCTGAGAATACTCCCTCCACATCCATACGACATGGTCCTCTGGCTTCTCCACGCTTTTCAGTAAATCTAGGCCCCAATGGGGTTCAATCTGCCAATGCCCACAGAGTACCTCTCTCTCTTCCTGCCTGCATGAGGTCTGTCTCGAGACCTTAATTAGTTCTTTTATAACTAAACTGCTCTTCAAATTGCTAACATGTGGGGGACAGAGCAATATAGTACATGTCTAAAGAAGCCGAGGGAATTTACAATCTATGCAAGAAAGAAAACAAGGGAGTGACTCATAGAATTGTCGAGTTGGAAGGGACCATGAGGGTCATTTCGTCCAATCCCCTGCAATATGGGAATCTTTTTGCTCAATGTGGGGATCGAGGCCACGACCCTGAGTTTCATGCTCTGCTGAGTGAGCCAGCTTGTCATGAGAACATAAGAAGAGCCCTGCTGGATCAGACCATAGGCCCATCTAGTCCAGCATCCTGTTGGTCAACCAGATGCCTATGGGAAGCCTGCAAACAGGACCTGAGCACAGCAGCACTCTCTCCATCTGTAATTCACAGAGACTGGTATTCAGAGGTATACTGCCTCCAACAGTGGAGTGTTAAGAAGTGTGCAGTTTGCACACAAGCCTGCACTTCTCACAGGCTAACCTGACACTCGGCATGAAACCTGGAAGCACTCCAGAGTTCATGTGAGAATTGCAGGCTACACACTTTATAACATGAGATAGAACAATGTCATCATAACTAGCTGTCTTTCCCTTCATGAATTTGTATAAATCCCTTTAAAAACCATTCAAGTCCCATTATTTCTTTTTGGAGCAAATTCGATTGTTTAACTGTGAACTTTGTGAAAAAGTGTTTTCTTTTATCTGTACTGAATCTCCCATTCAGCTTCACCATATGTCCATAAGTTTTGGTATTATGTCAAGAGTGGCAGAAAATCTCTTTTTCTCTTTACCCACATCATGTATAATCTTATTCATCGATCATGTTTTTTTATTTCATTTATGAATCACTTTCCACCAGCCATTTGAAACATCACATGCGCATACATACACACACAAGGCTCCAGTTAAGGTTGAACACTTGAGCATCCCTGGGGCTGTGGACCTGCTCCTTACAGGGATGTGCAAGCCCATCCAGGGCAGGACATTTCCCCACTTCCTGGACTCAAGAACTTGGGACCCATGACACCTCTGTCTTTTCAGGATTCAGCTTCAATTTATTGGCCTACATCCAGTCTATCAGTGCCTCTGGGTACCAGTCTATCACCTCAATTGCCTCTCCTGGTCCAGATGGAACAGAGATAGAGTTGGGTGTCATCTGCATATTGGTGCAACAATCATCAGATGCAGCAGCAGTACCTGGAAATTCAATATCACCAATTGAGACTATGGTACCAAAGCCAAGGTGAAAGACTGGAAGTGATATCAGTAATCAGACTGTTGTGTTCATTCAGAAACCACCATGAAAATGGATGACTGATCCACTGAACTGTTGCACAAATACCTAGATTTTAATTTTTTAAAAAAATAAATAGCAGAAATAAATAGATGAAACATTGTCTGCCTCTTGGGTAACTGTCATCTGTTATCTGATGGTAGGGCTAAACACTCCATATCTTATTATATTGTGTCGAGGTGCAATGCAATTGTTCTTGTTAATGACATGTGGAAAACCAGTTCGGTTTGAGTGTTGGACTAGGATCTGGAAGGCCAGGGTTCAAATCCCCACTCAACTATGAAGCTCATTAGGTAACCTTGGGCCAGTCACTGCCTCTCAGCTGAACCTGCCTTACAGGGTTGTTGTGGGGATTAAATGAAGAAGGAATCACCATGTACGCCACCTTGGGTTCCTTGGAGAAAAGGGTAAGATATAAATGCAAGCAGCAACAACAAAAGGCGGGGGGGAAAGGTGTGTAATGAAGTCAAATTACATTGCTGCATAGTTGTTTGTATTTGTAAGACCATGCAAAATGTGATGTTTGGGGCTCAGTTTCTCTGATAACACAACGTGTCAGCCTTTGCAATACTAATATGATAATGTTGGTCCTGTCTTTCCAAAATCTGGCACCTTGAAGGCAAGCTGCTACAGACCTGGGCCCTTCAACTGTGACAGTCTGGAGTTGCTGCAAACACCCTTTTCCACCATGGCAAATGCAACCAGTAAGGTTTGGGATGCTGATCTCCCTTCCACTGCATATTCCATCTCCGGGGTTTGGAATTTTCTGTGACTTATTGGGAAAGGAGCAACAGGTGCAGCTATCTTGGGGTTAGCATCAGAGGTCAGCATTGTTGGGCATGGGCCACGGTTCACACCCCAGAAGGAGGCCCACTCCCGACCCCTGGATCCCGCTGGCTCTGCTGATGCTCCTCCTTACTGTTATTGTCTGTTCACTTGTCCCCTTTAACAAAGTGAGCAGCAGCAGGAACAAGGAAATGCAGCAGCACCATCTTCTTGCCATGTCTGTTACCTCTGGACAGTGCATGGACTGGGCTCAAATGGAGAGGGGCAAGTGAATGGGCAGCACTGACAGCAGGGAGGGAATCCCCACCCAAATAGTGCTGAGTTTTCTAAATCCTTTGTTAGCATCCATACCCTTTTCATGAACTGCCAAATACTGGCAACAATACTACCCGAGCCTGTGAAAACTCTTTATCACTTTCTTTTCCTATTAGATTTCCTACTTTGTTGAGATGAGAATAATAAGCTACGATTAGCTTATAAATATCCAGCTCTGGAGATGATTTGAAATTCACTCTGTGCAGACCTTTTATCACCTTACAATTGGATGCTTCCTATATCCAGGCACCCTGGCACACAGTCAGCAATAAAGCATAAGCCACAAGCCCTGCACGTTCCTTGAAGCACATCAATAATGGCATCTCCATACACAACAAGGACGGAGTGCTACCAGATCAAAATAGTATATTTCACGCATACAGTAAAGCAGCAAAAATGAAGTGATGGTATATGATGCACCTCAGAATGGCTGCTAGTTAAAATCAGTGCTGGTACACAAAGACATCTCAACAGGTGCTCCTGTTACCCTCCCTTCTGTTTAAACTGCTATGCTAGACAGCCTCTGAACAGCCGGACAATCCTGGCTTTCCAAGAGGGGAATGACAAATATCATTTTCTAAAATACCTGAAATGCTTCACTTTAAACCAATTTGTACAATAGCCTGTTTCAAGCAAAAAAGAATAATTGTTCTGTGCAGATCCATGAATTCTACACTGTTTGAAAATCCCTGCCATCTGACGTAGAGGGATTTATAGGTTTAGTGGAAATTGCTTTCCCCACTGTCCAGATTAAATACTGTGGGATGATTTTTCGTATGAGTAAACATCCTTTCAATAATGAACAGACTGATAATGTCTTAAAAAGAGAAAAAGGATCTTCATTTTGGTTTTCTTCTTCTTTTGTGGACTATTTCCGGACATAAGACCAGAGGATATCATGTTGACTGTTCATAAAATGCAGTTTAGCATTTTCTTGCTGTTTTGGGCATGGGTTTTGTCCACAGAATGCAGAGCTCACTGGCAAGGGAAAGAAATTCATGAAGTGTACAAGAAAGGCAGGTGAGTTGAATTGTCAATCTGCAGGGCGAGAGATGATGCAGTATTTCAGATGAACAAAACGGCCGTAATGGGTCAAACTAGCTGCCTCACATTTGTACAAGAGATCTTCTGTTCTTTGCTTTTAATGCTTTGTGTTGCTCCCTTTTCATTTAGTGTTGTGCATTTTTACAACTCAACATACCAGAGGAACAAATGAAAATTCAATTTACTATGGCTTTCTAGCTTTAGGGAAGAGAAGCAGGAGGAGTTTAACTGGCATTTATTAAACAATATTTTAATCAATGTATTGATGTTACTGAAGGACTGTGACTAGATATAGATATAGATATTTTACAAGAAATTGACAGACAGATTCTAATGTTTTTCAGTTTCAAATTTTGAATACATACCCAACACATAAAGAGGTATGTTGTTTAAAACTGCCATGATAATCTTCTTTGAGTGTCATGCATTCAACTTTCTATGTATATGCCCATTATAATTATTAATATTTACTTATATTGTATTAGTGTTTTGAAGCGGAAATAAGTCAAATCAGACGGCAAACTGTTGTGGAAAAATAGGAGAAGTTATAAAATTCCCTTTAGATTCCTGATCTGCTTATTTCTACAATGAAGATG